CAAAAACAAAAAAAAAAAAAAGATGGCTCATCCCAAAAGCTCGCCCAGGACCTAGATAAAATGCTACAAATTATGAAGAGCCTCTCACTCCTTAGGCCGCATGATGAGATGTCACAACTCACATGACACCACATGGCACACGTCCCCTCTCAGTCTCCCGCCTGCTCTGCTTTCTTCCACCTCCTAGCTTCTCCTTCCAGTCAACCAAACAACGTACGCTCCTTCTGCTGAAAGCCTTCAATCCAACTGCAAAGAGCTGTCACCCCTCGTCAAGAGCCCGATCTGGTAGCAAGGAGAAATTCTCGGCGTGCGTGCCGGATGTTAGAAGGTCTGATTAGGAAGGTTTCAAACAAACGGTCACTAGTCGTGAGAAGGTCCTTCTTCACCCTGATTGTGACAGCTCCTCTGGGAGAGACTCCATAGTAGAGGCAGAATCCCAGGTCGTCACCAACCACAGAGGGCACTGGTGAGGCGCCAAGGCTGCAGCCCTGTGACCCAGGAGCCTCTGGACCAAGTTCACACTGAGGGCACATCTTCCATGACCTTTATGATCGAGTCCTCGGGGAAGTCTACCTTGTGACTGAATCCCGGGGTCCTCTCTTCTACTGGACCCTTAAGAGCACAAGGCTCTCCTCTCCCCCGCCTTTGAACTGAAGCTCTACTTGTGAGAGAACTGACTTTGATGCAGCTGGACAGGTCAAGATGGAAGGATCCTCGAGGCTCAGTGGCCAGCCAGCCTAGCCAGTCCGCAAGTTCCAGGTTCACTGGGAAACTCTGTCTCAAAAACTAAGATGGAGAGCAGCTGAGGAAGCCACCTGGCACTGACCTCTGACCTTCACACACATGTACACACACACCTGTACACACACACACACACACACACACCTGTACACACACACACACACACAGAAACAAAATTTTCACTCTGTGTTTCCTATTCATCCTAGCTTACTTCAAACAGTAACTGGCCAGGTGGAACCATCTTGGTGATGTGCTTATTTTAGCCTGAGACTACAGAAGATCTTACTTACACCTTAATAACTTCCAATAGCCGAACAACAGTTTCCTATCTCAATCTATTCGGTTTCATGGCTTGGAGCTTCAGAAAGTACACACTTGTGAGTCACAGAAGGACAGAATGATAAAAAGGTTAAGAAGGAATGAGGGAAGAAAGGTGTTCGACACAATAGTAGGGTGGTGATTTGAGGAAAACGGTTGAATGCTTGGTCATCCAGGAGCGGCATTATGTGAAAGGATTATAAGGTTCGGAAAGGGTGCCCTTGTTGGAGGAAGTGTGTCCCTGGGGGTGGGCTGTACGGTTTCAAAAGCCCACGCCAGGTCCAATGGTTCTCTCTCTCTCTCTCTCTCTCTCTCTCTCTCTCTCTCTCTCTCTCTCTCTCTCTCTCTCTCTCCTTGTGGATCAGGTTATAGCTCTCAGCTATCCTCCAGCCGCATGCCTGCCTGCTGCCATGCTCTCCGCCACGCTCTCCGCCATGACGACAATGGACTAAGCCTCTGAAACTGTAAGCCAGCCCCAATTCAATGTTTTCTTTGATAAGAGCTGCCATGGTCATGATGTCCTTTCACAGCAGCAGAACAGTGACTGAGACCCTGGGGAGGGAGAATCAGTGACCACATTTATGAAAGCTCCGATGGGTGATTGATGAGTCAGTTATTCTTTTAAAAAAAAAAATCTGAACTCAGCATGTATGGTTAAAGTGGAAAAAGTGGCCCTGCAGCTGAGCGGTTTGTCTGTTTCCTGAGCTTTCCAGTGGACACATCTTGTTCTGCTTCACAGTCACCCATCAGCGTTCCCGCAGCCCACTGGCTTGTACATTTCCTTCTTTGCTCACGATAGGAGCTAGAGCCTTGTCTCGGGTTAAAGGCAAAACGCACAAAAATAAATGCTTTGCAGCTTACCTAGAAATAACATGAAAAATGCTGTTGTCACTTGGGTGAAGAGAATCGATTTTGCTTAGCTTATTTCCATACCTAAAAACTCTCTGATCTGAAAGGCATCTGAGGTACTAGCGCATTAACAAAAAGGCTGCATTGTGCAAAAACAGAGGAGGGTCCTGGGGTGGGGGATCCGACCCCTCACTGTTTACCTTACGGACAAATTCAGGGCAAGAGGAGAATCATTGCCGTTAGCTGTATACCCCGATAACTGGGCTCCAACGGAGAACCCCAAGTCCAGCAGCCACACAGAGGGCTCTGATTCAGCGGGAGTCACACACCAAAACTCAAGGCCGGAATGGGGCTACTAGGGAGGAGGGGGCTTTGGTGGGGTGGGAGAAGATGAGAAAGGATTAGGAAGAGAGAGGAACCGGACACATTATATACATGTGTGAAGCTGCCAAATAACTAACTAAAGATCATATTGCCAGGCAATGTAACTATACCAAACACCACTGAAATGTGTATTTATAAGCAGCAAGGAGGTAAAGTTTTTCTTTTTTTTTACTTTTTTGAAAATAAAAAATATTTTTTAAAAGAAAAAGGTATAAAACTCACTAATAGACCCAAAAGCCCTTGGAATAAGGACAAAATATTCTTTAAGAGGGGAGTGTGGTGTCTTTGAACAAAATCGGTGATGGGACAGAGAACAAAACCACAGTGAGGGTCAAGGGTCACCTCTCTCCCCAGTCCAAGTCTAAACACTCACCAACGGCGCCTACCGCAAGGCTGCCTTTCAGACCCGACAAGGACCACTGTGGAGCCCACACGGAAGCAGGCCTCAGCCACGATGTCCTGTGGCATTGGATTAGTTACTGTCAATCTGGCCTCCTCAGATAGTTGCTGTTTCTCTCACATGCATTGAGAACAGCCATGCCCCTCTGATAGAGTCTACTTCAAGACACTCTGGGGAGAGAGGCAGGGAAATCCTTCAGTTACTGCCAAGGGGTGAGGACAGGAAGGGGATGCAGGAAGTACCGCCTTGCTGAAGCATCTTAAGTCGCTTGGGGTAGCATCCTGGACTCCTGAGGTGTAGACAGCGTTAGGTCCATGACAAAACTCTAACTTGTCCCAAGAATAAATCATTGGGAAATTCAAATGACAGCAGTACATGTATCAGGACTTTCCCCCCAGCATAATATTTTTATTAATTATTTGGGAACTTCATACAATGGACCCCAATCACACCTGCTTCCCATTCCTCCCAGGTCCACCATCCCACCCTTGTGCCGCCCCCCAAAAAAAAAAGAAAAAAGAGGAAAGAAAACCAAAAACACCAAATCTAATTTGTGTTGCCCATACACTCATTGAAGCATGGTCAAACTTCTAGGGGCCAGGCCCTTAAAAAAAACTGAGTCCTTCCCCACCACCCTGTTCAAAGCTATCAACTGTGGTCAGCTACTCTTCAGCATCTCTATCACAATTTTTAAGGACTCTCTTCCATAGTTTCATGTCTGGACTGTTTCTTTGGGTGGTGCTAGCAAAAATAAGGCACGCATCACAAATTTGCATGTCCTCCATGCCCTGGGCCATGCTAATCTTCTTTGTATCATTACAATGTTAGGATTCGTGCCACCAAAGCGAGCATGTGTTTGGGGATTTTTGTAAAGTTCTGTTTAAGATCATGAAGGGTTAAATAAAAACACATAATTGAAAGTTCTTTTAAACATAACGAAGAAGAAAAAAATGAAGTTAAAATGTGGATCTATTTCTCTTATACAAGCACTATTTTAAGAAGACACAAATAACCTACACTTCAGCCTCCTCACGGTTATTAAGATTCCTCTAAAATGAAACCCTAAATAGTTTCGGCCTTTGCTCCCTGCACTACCAAATCCACACCCCCATGGGCATCACCAAAGACCGGGTGTGATGTTCTCGGGCCTCTTTCCTGTGGCTTCCAGGCTCCCTTTGCTCTAAGCCTCCTCCCTTCAGTTTGTCTGTCATGAAAGCTGTTGCTCTCGCCCTTGATGCAGCCCCACGGCCTGCCTGTATAGGCTTCTCTTCCCTGGAGGATGCAATCACCCTCCCCACGCTCTGCTTCCCTAATTCACCCTTAAGCTATTCTTGATAGGAGCTCTTACTCTAAATGGCACGATCATCCCCATTAAGCTGGGTCAATTGTCTTACCCAGAGCTGGGCCCGGTGCATGCTGCAATACTAACCTGCCAAGCAGAAGTGTCTACTGATGCAATAGGGGTAGAGCTGTTACAGGATGACTAACTACTTTTTGGTGGGATTTGAAGACTGCTCCACAAGGAGCAATTTCATGTCTGGTGCAATGATCCTGGTCAAGAGCCTGTGGCTGGGGAGGTCATAAGTTCTAGGGTAGAACCTAAATGGATGCTGTCAAACTGCCTTCTAAATATGTATGAATATACCCATAGACTTGGGCTGCTCTGGACCTTAGTCAGAGAAGCTTTGTTTACAGTGGGCAGCAGTTCAGTGGAAAGATGCATGCCTGGTCAGAGTGCGGAGAATACTCTGTGGTAAACAGGAAGTCTTCATTATCTCCCCCAACACACACGCACATGCACACGCACAGGCGCACACGCGCGCACACGCACGCACGCATGCACTAGGGTAGGGGTAAGACTCAGAAAACATCTTCAAGAGGTAGAAATAATGTCTGAATCAGAGAATGGAAAGGAAAGCTGTGAAATGTGACCTTCTGGACATGATGTGGCTGTCATAATTATGAACTCCCAGCAGCTATGGTTACCAGCACAAGACCTGTAAAAGCCAGCCAAATTCCCAGCATAGATGGAGTAGACATCTCCAGGCCTCACCCCAGATAAACCTGTTATAGTACACAAACACAATTTATTTAAAATTATTGAAGAAAATAAGAAAATAGGGGGAAAAATGCTCTTTGTCCTCTGCGGGCTGTGAGTTAACAAGATTAAAAGGGGCCCAGTTATTCACGGGAAAGTCAGTCCTCAAAAGGAAACTTCTGTGCATACATGGCTAAACACAGTCCTTATAAAAGGAACATGACAAAAATGACTAGGGTCACAACTCTAGAAAATATGTCCATGTGATCAGTATGTGGTTAAAGAAAAAGAACACGGGGTGGGGGAGGAGTCCTGCGGCTTCACAAATAGTGAGTACAGAGTAAAGAAACAAGAGTCCGTTTTGAAAAAAATCACACAACTATATTCAATATATTGAGCTAGAACAACAGATAATAACAAGTATAGAAGATAATCTCGATCAGAAAGTTATGGTGACAAATGATGAAAACAGAGCAAGCAAAATGGCTCAGCAGGTAAAAGTGCTTACAGTCAAGCCTTGATGACCTGAGTTCAATACCCAGAACTCGCATGGTGTCAGGAAAAAAACCGACTCCCTAAAGCAGCTTTCTTCTGACTTCCAACAAGCATGCTGTGACACATACATGCTCTTGAAAATGTGCTCGCTGGCGCACTCACATGCACATGTACACACACACATACAGTGTGGGAGCCCATAGAGGTTTCCTAGTGAGATCTGAGCTTGATTTACCAGCAGGGCTGCATAAAAGGATGGTTTGAACCATGGGCCTGGGTACCAGGTGTTTGGAAGAGTCTACACTTGGTTGTATCTAGCAATAGGGAGGTCTTTTGCCTCGTTCCTTGGCATTGTTATAAAAAGCGCTTTTGAATAAAGTCCAGGGCCAGTGGATAAGGATCCAGGCCCTCCGAGGCTATCCTGTGTTTCTGTCTTTCTTCTTCTCCACTAAGCCTATCATTCCATCTACAAGTTCCTTATTCCTCTCTCCTCCTCGCAGGAACCCTGTAAAAGGCAGAGGCTGGTCCCCCACAATACAGACAAATACACACATAAGTAAAGAAAACAAGTATCATTTTAATTGTGTTCTCAAGATTTGCAGGATAAGAGATAACCTTAGCACTCAGGAAGCCAAGGCAAGAAGATAGTGAGTTTTAAGACAGCCTAGACTACAGAACAAAACCCTGCCTCAAAAAAACAAAACAAAACAAAAAAAATCATTAAAAAAATGTTTAAAAATTTCATTTGTATCTTGCTGGATTTCTAAGACTGTTTTTAGTCCAATGTCAAAGCTGTGAAATTGCTCATTTTCCACCCCTTGCTTAGAGCAAATAAAATTCTTTGTAGGAACTGTGCATGCACACAGACATCCTAAGACTAAAACTGCATTTCAGAAGTTTATGTCTGAGATTCAAATTTAGAGATTAAAAAAAAAAGGAGACATTATAACAGACGTTGAGGAAATTTGAAGAATCATAATGGCACACTTTAAAAATCTATATTCCACCAAACAAACTGGAAAGGCTAAAAAAACTGGATATGTTTCTTGATATATACCACCTACCAGTGTTAATTGGGATGAAATCAATAACTTAGCAGATCCATAACCCCTAGCAAAAAAGTCACCCAACTACCAAAAAAAAAGTACAAAATAGATTCAGGAGAGAATTCTATGAGACCCCCAAAGAACTAATGAAAATACTCCTCAAATTGTTACACAAAATAGAAACTGAATAAACACCTTCCAAATTCTTTTTACAAAGTCACTATTACCCTGATACCAAAACCACACAAAGACACAATAAAAAGGGAAAAAAGAAAGGAAATCATAGATCAATATCCCCTATAAACATAGATACAAAATTCTCAATAAAATACCTGCGAACCAATCAGGAACACATCAAAAAGATCATACACATTAGTCGAGTTGGATTTATCCCACAATTCAGTCATGGGTCAACAAACAAAATCAATAAATGTAATTCACCACATAAACAGGATGAAAAGACAAAAACCACATGATCATCTCATTAGAGACAGAAAAGGCCTTTGACAAAATCCAACATCCTTCCATGATAAAAGTCCTGGAGAGATCCTATAAAAGTCCTATAAGAGATTATACTTCAACATAATACAGTCAATTTACAGCAGGCCCACAGCCAACAACAACCTAAGTAGAGAGAAACTCAAAGCAATTCCATTAAAATCAAGAATAAGACATGGTTGTCCAGTCTCTCCATATGTATTCAATATAGCACTTGATGTTTTAGCTAGAGCATTAAGACAACTGAAAGAGGTGAATGAACTACAAATAATAAGAAAGAAGTCATCCAAGTATCTTTAATTGCAGATTAGATGACATAACTAACCCTAAAAAGTCTACCCAAAAACTCCTGTAGCATATAAATATTTTCCGTAAAGTAGCAAGATACAGAATTAACACACAAAAATCACTATAGTGCCTTCCAATATACAAATGACAAATGGACTGAGAAAGAAATTGGGGAAACAATTCATTTCACAATAGCCTCAAAAAAAAAAAAACTCTCAGGATAACTCTAAAGTAAGTGAGAGACTTGTATGATAAAAAATTTAAGACACTGAAGAAAGAAACTGAAGAAGATATCAGAACTAAGAAAGATCTCCCATGTTCATGGATTGGTAGAATTATTATTATTAAATTGGCCATCTTACCAAAAGCAATCTACAGATTCAGTGCAGCCCTCATCAAATTCCAACACAATTCTTCATGGAAATTGAAAAATTAATCTTAAACAAAAAACAAAAACCTAGACTACCTAAAACAATCCTTAATAATAAAACTACCGCTGGAGGTCTCACCATCCCAGACTATACTACAGAGCTACAGTAATAAAAACAACATGAAATCGGCACAAAAACAGACACATTGATCAAGGAAACAAAATTAAAGACCCAGACAGAACTCCATATACCTATAGGCACCTGATTTTTTTTCTTTTTTTTACAAAGAAGCCAGAAATACACACTGTAGAAAAGACAGCATCTTCAACAAACAGTGCTAATCAAACTGGATAACTGCACGTTGAAGAATGAAAATAAATCCATATTTAAACAGGGTTCCCAAAAGATGAAACACAAACAGCTAAGAACCACTCTACATAAAACATCCTTGGACATCAGGGAAATGTAAACGAAAACTACTTGGAGATTTCATCTTACTCCAGTCAGATGGCCAAGATCAATAAACAAATGATAGTACATGTAGGCGAGGACTAGGGTAAGGGGAACACTCATTCACTGCTGGTGGGAGTGCAAACTGGCAAAGCCACTGTGAAAATCGGAGCGGAGGTTTCCCAAGAAGTCCGCCTGGAACGGGGCCCATGCTCACCTACATTTGCCACCGTGGGACCAGAACTTACCACTCAGCTTGGCCTTATCAGGAGCTTAGAACAATTATTCAATGAGCAAGAAAGTGAGTTGAAGACTGATATTCAAACAGCCGTTTGGTAAAACCAGAACTCTGGGCTGTTTTTAGGCACTGTTCCAGGCAGCCTGGGCAGGAAACTTGGCTCCATTCTGAGGACTAGAGCCAGGAGTGCCTCCCATAGTCAGCCTGTCTTTTTCATGTGCAAATGCCACTGTGGCCAGTGTAAGCACTCAATTGTTGGATAATGTGGAGTTTGCCCCTATATTAGGAACGATTCTGGTTTTTTGTTTGTTTGGTTGTTTTTTATTTTTTTTTAATAAATTTATTTATTTATCTTACATCCTGGCCTCCTGGCCTCCTGGCCAGGAGGAATGTTGCAGAATATCTGTACACTGTACGAAGATGTGTTG